CAAATAGTATCATCATGTTATTACTCATTCGATTAATAGGGAGTACAGCACTGAGGTGGGGCATGACTACTATGTCCTCTCCAGTCCCTTTCAGGTCATCACATGAAGTAGGGGAAACAGAATTGGCAGCAGACCTGGCCTACAGAATGCTTGCCCCAGGGGAGCCCCCGAGGACCAGGCAGACTCCAGCATGGGCATAGCAGTCACTTTCCCATAGTGGGTGGAGTGCTAAATCCTAACACAGCGACTGATGTGGGTAGCTTGGGTATAGGAGGGCAGCCAAGGCACACACATCTCCATCTTCCCCAAATTTGATTTCCCCAGCCTAGGCCCTTCTTCTTGTGTTCCCAGTTCTAAGGTTTTCAGACTTTCCATAGTGCTCCTCTGAGGCCAGACACCTATCATCCTTGATCTAAAGTCAATGCTTCTCAAACCTGATCATACAGATCACTTGGGAGCTTGTTTAAAATGCAGGTTCTGAATCAGTAGGTCTTGGTTGGGGTCTAAGATTCTGCATTTCTTTTCTTGTCTTTTTCTCCTTTTTTTTTTTCTTTGTAGCTTTCGCACTCAGCACAAAGCCCAATGCAAGGCTTGGACTCACAACCCTGAAATGAAAACCAGAGCTAAGAACAAGAGTAGGATGCTTAACTCACTGAGCCACCCAGGTGCCCCTAAGATTCTGCATTTCTAACAGACTCCCAGATGACACCCATGCTACTGGTCCATGGACCACAGTTTGAAGAACAAGGATGTAGGTGACTGGAGCAGGTGCTCTAACTGCTATTCTATAGATCGTAATGATAGTCATATCTCATCCCTTCCTGATTCAGGAATCTCACTCCATGGCACAATACACAACACAAATCTGGCTCATAAATTCCTTTCAAGTGTGAAAACACACATCCCTCATAATATTCTCATTCTTTCATGACACTTAAAGGTCTGTGTAGCCCAGATTACTGTCTCATTTCTTTTCCAACTCACCTGTCCCTTTTTTATTTCCCAAAGTATCTCTTGACCAATGCCTCTTTCTTAGTTTCTACTCAGACTTTCCTTCCAAAGGAATGATGTCTCAATCCCTTTCCTTTTACTAACTCTTCCTATTTCAGTTTGTGTTTCTCCCCATTTGGGGTATAAGTTCTCTCTCCCAAAAGAATCTTAGATGCTCTCATGAGGTTTTTGCACCAGTCTCTCAAAAAAAAAAAAAACAAAAACCAAAAACAAAAACCCATCTAAAACCTTTGGTAAGTATATGGTAATCCTGCCTCTAGCAGGCATCCCTAGAGCCTCCTACTCCCCATTGGGAAGATGAGAAATTCCACAAGTAAAAGTATCTTCATATTCCTCCCTCCCAGGGCAGTCCCCATACATAAATACAATGGAAAATCACTGGCCCTCTATACCAACCATAAAACTCTGACTGCCTCAAGAAAGATGCCTGTTGTGCCCAACTGGAGGCAGTCTCATCTTCATGGATTCCATGGAGTCAGAGCTGGTTGGGCCTTCTATCAATTTGCTACTTCAACCCTCCCTACAACCCATGGGAATAGATGCAGTGAGACTAAAGGAGGTCATGTCAGGCATTCTCCTGCCTCAGGACTGTATTTCTCCTGTTGCTCTTTGAATGAACAATACTGTTCTTACTGTTGGGTGTAGAGGGAGTAGAGAACCTACTCCTTGTCCTGCACAAGACTCCACTCTGATGGAACAGACAGGGCAATCACCAGAACTCAGGCAGAGCCACACAAAGGCAAAACTAGAAGTGCCTGGGTACAGTTCTAGATGCTAGGTACAGAACCAGATACAGTTCTAGATATAATTCTGGTGGGGAGAAATGCTGTTTGTCAATTCTTGCAGAAGAATTCTCCCAGAAGATAGTTAAAAGAGTAACACAGTGCTAGCCTGAAAGGAAGAAGAGGTTCTGTATGTGGAAGAAATGTGGAACGTTCAATTCAATTTAACAGGAATTTGTTAAATACTCATTATGTGCCTGGTCCCAGATGGATGCTCTGAGGGAGTAAACAAGATACACTCCTTACCTCTGATCTACAATCAGAAACAAACTGAAGAAAATAAAGACACTCAAACGACTGTGGTATTTTTTTTTAATTTCAGCTTTATTGAGGTATAATTGATATATAAAATTGTAAGGTATTAAAGTGTGCATTGTGGTGATTTGATAGACACATTCATTGTGAAATCATTCACTATGATTTCCCCACTGTGAAAGGATTAACGTGGTATTTTAATCTAAGTGTTTCATTAAATGAAGGTAAGTGCCCAAAGGGCACCCCTGTTTTCCTCACTTCATCTTTACATATGTAAGGGTATCAGCTGGAGCTTTGGTTTTCTATGTGAGGTCCCTGGAGCAGTTGCAGCATCACCTGGGAGCTTGTTAGAAGTACAAGTCCTTGGCCCCATCCAGACCTACTGAATTCCAAAATCTGGGATGGGGCCCAGCAATTGTTTTCACAGGCCCTCCAGGTGAGGTGACATGCTTTGAAATTTGAGCAGCACTGAGCAGAGTACTATTCCTGGCTGCTATCCACCATCCCTGCTCACTGTTGATTAGTGAGTTGAAGAGACAGGATTGAATATGTCCAGCTCTGCCCCAGTTTTTGTTGGTTTTCTTTTTGTACCAGAACCAGAACCAATCTGCCCAGAACGTCTTCATTCCAACCTCCTCATACAGGAGAAAATCTAATAAAATTAGACTCTCTCCAGTGATGGAGGGTAGGTGGTGTCAGCACCACTTGCAATGAGGATTAAATCTAATTTAATGATGCAGGATTAGCAAACCAATTAAACTGCAGATCTACAGCTAATGATTTAATCATCTCTCTCTACATGTTGATTATCAATTGGTTCCAAACATAGTAGGGGGAAACGGGCTGTGATTTATTGTAACTCTACAGTTCCAACAATTGTAGTAAAAAGTGGGTTCAAGTCATATGCAGTTATGCATATGAGAGAGAACTAGTTAAGATAATAACAGGACATAAGAATCAGAGGATATCCTAGAATTTTTTATGTAAAAAGAACATTCGAAATCATTGGTTCTGACCTCTCATGTTGCACATAAATAAGCAGAGCATCTAAGGCACTGACTGACTTGCTCAAGGTCATATTGCTCGTTAGTGGTAGAAACAAGACTGAACCCAGGACATCTGGCTCTCAGCTGTTCACTTTTCTGTTCATTTTGAAGTCCAAAAATGCAGATATCAGCAAGCCGAAGAACCAGCTTTAGGGATTTTCAGTACAGGTTCGAAGCCAAAATGCTTTGTGCTCATAGGTAAGCTCTGGCTCCAATACACCTGTGCATGTTCTATTGGCCCTTCTCACAGCCAAGGCCCAAGTGAAATGCCATGTTCAGTGTGCTCTAAACACTGCTTCATTTTCCTTTGCTTTTCTTTGTGGTGTTCACTCTACCTACAGTCTCTCCCTGCTGTCCATGTGTGGCAAAATCCTATCTGTCCCTGGAGAGAGAGAACTCAAATGGCATTCCTTTACAAAGTCTTCCCTGATATCACAACACTCACCACTGTGTCAGCAACAGATGATCTTCTCCACTCTGAATTCCTAGGACACTTTATTTGCATATTCCTTATGATAACACTTTCTACTTTGTGTTACAGCTATGTTTCATCCCTTATATTACAATATGAGCTCCTTAAAAGTAGGGGACACTTTTTATCTTTTTTTTTTTTTTTGGTTTTTTTTCCCCTCTAGTTTCTTTTATTTATTGAATACAATGTTGTTATAGTACTCTCAGATATACAATATAATGATTAAAAATTCCACACATTTTTCCGTGCTCATTAAGATATTAACATAAGTATACTCTTAATTCCCTTTATCTAAATCACCCATCCCTCTTCCCATCTCCCCTTTGGAAACCACCCATTTGTTCCCTGTATCTAGGCATCTGGGACAGTGTCTTTGTTGTTTTGTTTTTGTGTGTTTTTTGTTTTTGCTTGTCTGTCTTTTTTCTTTCTTTTTAGTTTGTTTTATTTCTTTATTCCACATAAGGGCAAAAATATATGGTATTTGTCTTTCTCAGACTGACATATTTCAATTAGCATTATATTCACCCAGTTCATCCATGTTATTACAAGTGCCACGATTCCATTTTGTGTATGGCTGAGTAATAGTCCATTATGTATACACATGTCATATTTTCTTTATCGACTCATCTACCGATGGACACTTGGGTTTGCTTCCATGTCCTGACTATTGTAAATAATGTTACAATAAACATAGGGGTGCACATATCTTTTCAAATTAACATAACCAAGAAGCTTTTGCACAGTAAAGGAAACCATCAACAAAACAAAAAGGTGACCTACTGAATGGGAGAAGATATTTCCAAATGATATACTCAATAAGGGATTAATACCCAAAATACAAAAAGAACTTATACAACTCAATACCAATAAAACAAATAATCCAATTAAAAATGGACAGGGAACCTGCATAGATATTTTTCCAAAGAAGAAATATAGATGGTCAACAGACTCATGAAAAGATGTTTAGCATCACTAATCATCAGGAAAATACAAATTAAAATCACATCACCAAATATCATTTTATACCAGTCAGGATGGCTAAAATAAAAAAGACCAGAAAACATATGTTGGCAAGGATGTGAAAAAAAAAGGAACCCTCATGCACTTTTGGTGGGAATGTCAATTGGTGCAGCCACTATGGAAAACAGTATGGAGGTTCCTCAAAAATTTTAAAAAAGGAATTATCCTATAAGCCAGTAATCCTGCTACTGGATATTTTCTTATGTAATCTCTATATGCAAAATGGGCTCACACCACACTGAGATCAAAAGTCAGCTGTACTGACTGAACTCCCTACCCCCTGGCTACTAGTAGATATTTAACCAAGAAAGGAAAACACTTTTACAACTTTCTTTAAAAGCAATTTTTAAAGCAAAAAAGCAGCTACTGACACAACTGAAAAGGAGACAAGTAAAAGGAATCAAAGGACAGGGATGAGATCAAACATGTATCCTTTACTTCACCATAAATACCCAGCTCTTTTAGTGTTTCCCCCACCAATATCCCATGGGAGGCCTACCTTTCCATGAACTCAGGAGTACTTTCCATTACTGTGCAAGGAGACCCTACTGCATTCAGGTGTGATGATGTCAAATAAATATGTACTGGCACTGCTGAGTTCAAGTTCTACAGTTTGGGCACTAACTTAAGTGGGGTTAGCAACCAGGTTGTGCTGGATCCCACAGGCGAAGTAGATAGCAAATCCAATCAGCATCCAGACACCAAATCGGGCCCAGGTGGCAGCCGTCATCTGCATCATAAGGCAAACATTCATGAAGATGCTCAGTAGTGGGAGGAGAGGCAGACCAGGAACTTTAAAGTGAGGGGGACTGGGCCTCTGTGGCTGTCTCCAGATGACCCCAGTGAGCCCTGTGATGAGCACCAGGAGCAGCACAGTCACTGAAATCCACACTGGGTCCCCAGAAAGCAGAGCTGGCCGCTGGGCCAGCACCAGGCACAGAAAAGTAAGCAGCAAAGCAAGCAGTGAGGAACACACATAGACAACCTGGCCGGAGAGCACAGTGGGGGTGGAGCTGCCTGGAAAAAATAGTCCCTGTAGAGTCAGCCTCTCTGCTGCAAGTCTATTCTGCTGCTGCACTTCTACTTCATGTCCTCCATTTTTCCTCTCAGGTTGATACCTGAGGATGAGAACACAAAAAGCAACCAGAGAATAAGATATCAGCGTTCCAATTGACCTGAGGTCCACAAGATCAGTGACTCCAAAGAAGAATGTCATGATTGCTGCAATAATCGTAAATACCATGGTGGCCACGAAGCGGGGGTATATTCTGGTATAGATCCTGGAAAAGACAGGGAACAGGAGGCCATCCTCTGCCATCATGTATGTCATCCAATGTACGGGGGTCATAAAGCCCACGAAAATGCCACAAACACTACAGAAATATCCAAAACCCACAACATAGTAAGCAGGGGCCCAGCCAATGTGGAGAAATGCCTCAGACAAGATGCTCCCAGGTTGAAGCTTGTAGTAAGGCACCATAAGTGTAAGTGCGGAAAAGACACCAAAATACACCACAAAGCAGATGAACAGTGAAATCACAATGCCCAGGGGGATAGAACGCTGGGGATTCCGGACTTCTTTCACTCTGGTAACAATAATGCTGAAACCTATAAATGTATAGAAACAGGTAGCTGCTCCACGGAGAATTCCCCCAAAGCCAAAAGGCACAAACCCTCCAGAGCCCAGAGGGCCCAAGCTAGAGGTGTCATTGAGTCCAGCCATTGTGTAGTCCTCTACTGTGAGCTTCCAGTTGTGCAGGTCCCCCTTAATGAAGCCAGAAATGATAACGAAACTGAGAAACAAAATTCTCACCAATGTGAACACTTTGGAAAGGGCGAATAACTCATAAAAATTCAAATATTCAATTTCTCTAAGTAACAACAGAAGGGCCACAGAAAAGTAGACTAGATTGTCTGCAAGGACTTGGGGAACATGCTGAGAGATGCTTTCATGCAGGCTCTGAGACATCTGGTTCCCAAGCAGGTTGTCAAAGGTTAAGACCCAGGTCGTGATATAAATGACTGTATCAGCAATAAAGGACAGGATGAGGTTCCAGCCAGTGATGAAAGCCCAGAGTTCACCAATAATGACATAGGTGTAGAGATATGAGGAGCCAGAATGGGGAACCTGAGCACTAATCTCAGCATAGCACAGTCCAGCCAGCACAGAAGACAGGCCAGCCACCAAAAAGCAGATCACAGTGGATGGTCCTGCTTGATTACTGACCACTTCACTAGCCAGGACGTACACACCTGCACCTACAGTGCGACCCACACCCAGGGCCACTAAATCAAGAACGTTCAATCTTCTGTCAAAGGAAATCTCAAATATTTCTTTCTCCGGTGGACGTCTGTGTACCAGCTTTTGGACAAATCTGCGAAATGCCTGAAACGGCATTCTAGCTGGAGTTGAAGAAGATTCTAAGGATCAGAGAGCTATAGCAAACCCAGGGAGTGTTGGATCCGGTTCGATGAGGCTGACTTAAGCTGAGTTGCGTTGGGGCAGTCAATTTCCCTTGTTCAGGCTTCAAAGCTGCTGCTTCATATTTCTTTTAGTATGTGGTATCCTTCCATAATTCCTAGGTAAATAAAAAATATTTACTGAACAATGTTATTCAACACCAAGCTCAGAAGTCATATAACTTGTTGCAGCTCAAATATCACAGAAACTGACACCAAAAGAAATTATAGAAAAATCATTCCTGCTTTTCCCTCCCCCCAAAAATGTCAAATACCTCCCAACATACTCCTTTATTACACACCACATGACATAATCCCATTTGAATCCATCTAACTCATGTAGCTTCATGTACAAATTAAGCTGTAAGACATAACAGGGTGAATGTATTGTGCAATAATTTACACAAGAAATATTTGGCCGGTGCTTGAGCTTGAGTTATGACACATTAGTTCACAGGCTAGAGCGCCTTGTTGCAATTATAGAACCATATAAAATATTATCTGAGTTTAAAGTGAAAATATTTGCCCCCAGTTTTAAAACCCTTACCCCCAAATCAGCTAGCCAGGGTCTAATGTCATTTTGGCCCCTTTCTCCTCATTCTCATCATCCATTCAGCTGTATTGATGTCATAGAATATATAGTCCAACTCTTCGCTTTACCTTCCTAGGCCCACATGGACGCTGTGAAAAGAGAGGAAGAGGGAGAAAGGAGGAAAGAGCCTTCATAACTATCTGCAAGGTAAGAAAAAGGCTTTCTGGAAAGAAATGGGTGCAGCAGCCAACCAAGAGTCCATTACTAAGAGGGGAGAAGAGCCAGAAAGGTCAGTCATTTTATCATATCTGATATGCAATAAACCATGTAAAGTAACCAGATAAAAAGTCACCACAGTTTTTATGTCCACAGTTTTGAGTCTGTGATGCGTAGCAAGAAAAGAAGTAAGTCATTTAGCTCAGTAGCTCACAACCAAAACAATTCCTTCTGTCTTCTCCCTCTCTGGGTTCCAAGTGAGAAGGTGGATTCACTTCTGCAGAAAGTCTCCTTACTGGCCACACTGTGCTTTATAAACACCTTGCACCATCTGTGATGTCAGTAGCCAACTGCCTGGAGACCCTGATATGATCTATGGACTTCTATTAAAACACTCACTTGTAACTCCGTATCAATTTTTCACAAGGAGTTATTTTTAACTCACTCAAACCATAGTCTAAATGTGTCCTTAGTGAAGGAACCCTGCATACGGTTCCTCCTTCACCCTCCTCCCCTGGCTGCTATTCAAATAGGCCCCTCCTCAAGGAGAGCAAGACTTTGGGTGAACAATTCACAACAATGCCACAGAAATGAGTAGTGGAGAACAGAGAAAACAGAGTCATGCAGCCCCCACTCTGCACTCTATTCAGGGTTTGGTTTTGAGAGAAAATTTTAGGAAATGTTGATAGAGGTTTCTAAAGATGGAAAGACAAGTCGAAATTGCAAAGTCTTCTCTATAAATCATCAAAAGGAACCCTTGGGTTATGGGTCAGGCCTTCTGTCTACAAATCCATCTAGACTCATTCGCCACCCACCAGTTCCAATGTTACGATTTACCAACAAGCACACAACATAAAAAAAGAGAATCAATACTTAACTCAAGGAAATATTCTATACTATAAATGTGATTGACGTGTCACCCCCCCCCCCAGGATTCAACCCTTCAGTGGCTCCCATTACCCTTCATTCTTAATCCTGCCTTCCTTCATCATCTGACCTATGCTTATTCCTCTAGCGTCATCATCTGCCCAGTTCCTAATGCAGCTGCAAAATCCTACACTCACCCTGTTGCCCTGCCTCTAATGCCTTCTTGTCCCCTCACTTAGCCAACCCCCACTTCTCTTTTACTTCTCGGCTCAAAGTTGCTGCCCCAAGAAGCCTCCCCTGACCCTTCTGCTGCCTTTTCTGTGTGCTCATTTAGCACTCATGCTTCCCTTATGTGCCAGTTATCCTAATGGGGCAAATATTCCAGGTCAGCTGCCTGTCTCCTCCACCAGAGTGTGAGTTAAGTGCTCAATAAATATTTGTTAAACAAATACAAACTGAGAATAGAATCCTGAAAGAACACATGATTCAGAATTCCTATCTACTTGACTTTGAGATATATACTTTGTAGCTAAGTAAGTTTTATAAACGTGGCTCAGCTAAAGATATACATGATATTACCTTTCTTAGAGAAGGCAATCAAAATCAAAAGTGTGGAAAGAAAATCTACTGTGATAACACCTAGACACATCATTCATGGCAGGTATAAACCACAAAGAGTGTAAAAAAAAATTGTCTGCCTTTGAGAACAGTTGTTTTAAAACTATCAGGCACCCTTTGGTTATAGGCAACCAACCAGCCACACCAGTTAAAGAATCCTTATTTTTTTTAAGGCATGATGTTCATGCCTTATAATCTAGGTGAGATGTCCTAATGCAGAGGTTCTCACTTCGAGGGACAGAGGGAGGCATAATGAAGACATCCTGGAACATTTTCAAATGTCATATCCTCTCCCTCTGGAGATTCTTTTCCACTAGACCTGTATTTCCATGACTGCTCTAAGCCACCCAACTGACAGAAAAGTGCCCTCAATTTCAAAGGAAAAAATTCTAGAAGTTTCCTTCACAGGAAGGCAGCACAGTTTAGTAGTTAGGAGTAAAGGCTCTGCAAGTAGACTGTTCAAGATCAAATCACAACTCAACCTCTTACCTGGTGACTCTGAACAAATTAATTTACCTCTTGGGGTTTTAGTTTCCATGACAGTTTAATGGGAGTAAAAGTAAATATCTCATAGGGTTGTAGTTCAGTACCTAGCAAACAATGCATAATAGAATCTACCTAATGTTTACTATTGAAATCTGATTCAAAGTCCCCAAACTTTGAAAATCATTTAGTATTTATACATTTTTAACCTCAAAATGACTCACTAAACCTTGAGCCTGTTAGCTAACTTCATGAGAAAATTAAAACAGTCTTATTCCATATAATTCACCTTGAAACTTAAGGTTTCTAATTAAACACCCTCATACATGTCAGAATAAACACATGGGTGTCCCAAGCAGATTGAGTTAGACCAGGCATTGAAAAATGCAAGGCTCTATAATAATAATAATAATAATAATAATAATAATAATAATAATTTCCCTATGATTGCCTCATCTTATTCCTAGAAAGGCAGTGCTAGGTACTATAGAGGTAAGAGCAATGAATATTATATCAGAAATTTTGAATTTGAGATCTAGCCCCTCTGCATGACTATATAAACTAGAGTAATTTCCTTAATCTCTCTAAGCCTCAATTTCCTCATCCATATGGGACTTTACTTGGCTTTCCTTACTGGATCAACACAAGAACTGAATGACTAGATAAAAACTATCTGGTGGGAGTGTACCTGGGGCTGCCATCCTGAAGCACAATCTTAGCATCATTAAGAATGCACACCCTCCCATCCCACATTACCTTTTTGAGGTAAACACCCCAAGAAAACTCCCTCCTGAGTCCATAAGGAGGCTCACATGAACATGTTCAACAAAGGAATTTTGTGGCAACAGGAAGTGGAAGCTATGCCAGAGTCTATTACTAGAAGAATATATAAGTAGCAAGTTCCCTATGTGCACAATGAAATATCACATAGCACTCAGATACAATAGAGTACATTCATAGATAGCAATTGGATAGGACAATATTTAATAGGATAAGTAAAAAGCAGGATGAGGTGTATAGCACAATGCCATTTATGAACATTTATAAAACATCCAAAAAATGCTGTGTATTTGTCAAGGATAAACATGCATCTAATAAAAATGTAATGAAATTCCTCTGCCTAAAACCTTCCATTGGTTTCCCATCTTAAAATTTTTTTTAATATTTTTATTTATTTCTAGGAGAGAGAGAGACAGCGTGAGCAGGGGAGGGTCAGAGAGAGAGGGAGACACAGACTCTGAAATAGGTTCCAGACTCTGAGCTGGCAGTCAGCACAGAGCCCGACGCGGGGCTTGAACCCACGAACCGCGAGATCATGACCCAAGTGAAAGTCGGACGCTTAACCGACTAAGCCACCCAGGCACCCCTCCCATCTTTTTTTTTTTTTTCAATTCTAAGAGAGAGAGAGAGAGACAGCGTGAGCAGGGGAGGGTCAGAGAGAGAGGGAGACACAGACTCTGAAATAGGCTCCAGGCTCTGAGCTGGCAGTCAGCACAGAGCCCGACGCGGGGCTCGAACCCACGAACCTCGAGATCATGACATAAGCGAAAGTCGGACGCTCAACCGACTAAGCCACCCAGGCGCCCCTTTCTTAAGTGTTTTTATTTCCATCTTAAAATTTTTTAATGTTTATTTATTTTTGAGAGAGACACAGGTAGTAAGAGAGGGGTAGTGAGAGAGGGAGATAGAGAATCTGAAGCAACTCCCCACAGTCAGTGCAAAGCCTGATGTGGGACTTATCACTACTGAATGTACAATATGTTTTACTTATTTATTTGTTCATGATTTATCTCACTCCAAAAGAATGTAAGCTCCATGAAAGCAGGACTTTTGGTTTTGTTTTTTTTGTTTTGTTTGCTCCTGGCTGTAGTCCCCACACCTACAACTGTGCCTGACACAATTGGCAGTTTGAATTTGTTAAATGTATGAATGTATCTAAATACACCTATAAAGCATGGATTGAAAGAGCATTTGTTAATATACTAAAGCAAGTACCTCCACTGAAGATGGGAAAGGAGAATGAAGATCAGGATGAAAGATGAAAAAAATGAACTGAAAAGGGTTCTAACAGGAAACAATGGTACTAACAGTCCATGACTGATGAGGGGTTGACTCCAGTCTCTGCATTTCAGGCTCAACAAAGGAATTGCACAAGTTAATGTGAAAACAGCTGGTTCATAACCTAATAAAGGACAGAAACTCAACAGATTTAAATTGAAGGG